GCGGTGCAGGTCGAGGCCGAGCGCCGGGTCCGCACGACGCCGCCGGGCGGCATGGGCACGAGCGGGTCCAGGCGATGCAGGTCGAGGTCGAGCGCCGGGTCCGCACGACGCCGTCGGGCGGCATGGGCACGAGCGGGTCCAGGCGGTGCAGGTTGAGGCCGAGCGTCGGGTCCGCGTTGCGCCGGGCGCCTAATTGTCCAGTGAGGTAAAACGGCTGCAGGGAAAGGGCAAAACCGCCCCAGGGCCACGGGGGAGTTCGGGGTTTCGGGACTGCCCGGAGCACGTGCGCCTGGCTCCGGTGAACGAGGTCGCGAGGTGCGCCCGCGCTCAGGAGGCCGAGGTGCGGCGCTTGAGGTTGTCAGGAACAGTCATCGCTGTTTTCTACATGTATAGGGTGGGTACCCATAGGAATGGATGCACAATTTAATTTTCTTAAGCTTACCTCGTCGTAGGACCTATGAAGAAAAAGGTCCCCGAAGGCGATATGATGCAGTCCGCCCACCAGATGACCGCCGACGATAGGCTGAAAACGTAGTGCCCACAGTCAGAGTTAGAACTGTGTTATGTATTTGGAGGTTAGGGTTCACGGATTTGTGAGGGTTAGGATTCCTTCGGGGATGGAATCTTCCGGGTGGAATCTTCCGCAAGGGTTAGGGTTCCCTCGGCGGGAATGGGAACGGTATGATGCCGCGATGGAAAACAGTAAGTATAGGTGCCTGACTGAGCCACCAGCTCCCCTTTGTAATGAACACAATATATCGTGGAAGAGCAACGTGCGACAAGGGGAACTCGGAATGATTCGCGCATTGGCCCCGAGAGTTTAACGACTTTGGCGCGCTACGGTTTGGACCGACGCCGAAGCGACGACTCGAGGCCCCATGAGGGCCGTCCGTCTTCTTGGGTCAGCGTAACTATGACAATGTTGTACCATCATGACGATTACCGTATTCCGGATACTGAGAGTAGGATCATCCCCAACGGCTTGCATGGCATCTCGATCGTTGAGAGACGCAAAAAAAGTGCGAAAAATACTAACGACAGTCAAAAAAATGTGCCTCCTAACAGGATCGAACTGTTGACCTTCAGATTATGAGACTAACGCTCTACCGACTGAGCCAAGGGGGCGGATTTAGCGATCGCATTGGAAACCAATCGCAGAATTGGTGAGCTGTTGTAAACTGTTCATATCAACGATGATTGACTATCTTTTATCAATCTTGGTCCAGGATGCCAAGGCCATGCATGTACCCTTCACAGATTCTGGCCTGTCACTGTGGTCCGTGGAGAACACGTTCGTGGTAACTCTTGCAGTGAGGAGGCGCGTGTGGACTCGACTCTGACCCGGTGCGTCGCTAAGAACTCGAGGGGCCTTCTCCCTTGCAATCACACCCGATTCCTGCTTTGATAATGTAGCGGGCCCTCGCGACTTCATGGGGTTCGGCCATCGCGCTCTCGGTGGTGCTTGGTGTGCCCCGCGCCGGTCGTCTCGGGCGCCTTACGGGGCGGTCCCGCGAGGTCCGAGTCGTTGCGCATTGGGTCATATTTACGCGGCGTCTAGCGGGTGGGGCTCCGGCATCAGGACCAGGGCGCATCTCGCGGGGCGGCCCGGACGACGTTCGGCGTGAGCGAAGACCGCCGCGCGGCGTCGGCGAAGGGCGACGCGGGGCTCGCCGCGGCCAGGAGGAGCGCGCGCTGCGGGGGGGGGCGCGGGCGGCGAGAACGGCTGCGACGGCTGCCGCGAGGCGCTCAAGGTGGTCGCGCCGCTAAAGTTGGTCACGCCGCGCTGCGGCGCCGCGCGGCCGGGCGTGGACGTCGGCGTCGCCGGCTGCGGCGGCGCGGCGGCGCGGCCGCGCGCCGACGGCGCGTCGTTGGCGAGCGCGAGCGCGAGGACGCACAGGGCGCCGCTCTGTGCAAACCTCGTTACCAAAAGTTGTCAATCGCTCGCACCGTCGCACGGGATCTCCCTGCGGGGCCTCGAGCAATCTGTTATCTCCTGGCATTCCGAATGCCCGAGAGGCCGGCGGTCCGACGTCACCGCGACGAAAGTCGAGGATCATTCTAAACAACCCGCCGTCGTGGTTGATCCGCCCTCGGGGCCCGCCCGTGACATGGCGTCGAGCCGCCTGGACGTGCGCCCGAGCATCGGGTCGTCGGCGTTGGTCGACGCCAAATCAACGCCCCTTTTGCGGCTCCGTCGCTTCGCGGCCGTGGGTGAACGGCCGTGGGAAAACATGACGTTGTCCGCGCGAAAACGATAGCACGTGAGCGCGCGCGGTCGAGGCCCCCGACACGCGAGTGTCCGCTGACACGATCGGAAACCGGTGAGGAAGGTCCAAGGTCGTCCGTCCAAAGGCGGTCGAGAGGCGGCTTAAGGCGGCACACGGGCCGGGGCCCGCTCGGTACCGCCATTCGAATCGTCTGGCGCATGTTGATCCCATGGGTTCTGCGCTCCCCGCGATGAAGTTTCGCGTCGTCTCTCGTGAAAATCTCCCCGGGCTTGCGGGTCGAGGCGTTGGGGTTGGTTCGAGTTTCTTAAGAATTGGAATCCGAGTCGACAAACAACACACGCGACGGGGGCGCACGCTTCGGCCGGGGTCCGCCTTCCTGCGCAGCTCGGGCCTAGTTGTACTTGGCCTTGAACGCCGCCGGGTCGGAGAGGAAGAGCTTGAACGGCTCGGCCTTCTCGAACGAGTAGCCCTCGCACTCGACGGCGATGGCCACGAGCATCTTGAACGTGTTGGCGATGGAGTGCGGCACCGAGGCGAGCGTCGGGTAGTTGATGGCGAGCGAGAGCGCGGCGACTTGGCCGAGCGCGGCGCCGAAGCGCGCGGCGAGGTCGTCGTCCGTGAGGTCGAGGACCTTGACGTCAAACATCGAGCCGTTGTCGTAAATCTCCTTGATGATCAGACCGTACTCGAACGGCTCGATGTTGAGCTTCTGCAGCAGCACGGCCTCGGAGTTGCCGACCTTGTCGCCGGGCTTGAGCAGGTGCACTGCCGAGACGATCTCGATGCGGCCCTTGACAATCTTCGTCGCGATCTGCAGCGTCTGGAAGAAATTGGTCTGGCCAGGGTCGCAGTCCGTCGCGCCGGGCGGGATGATGACGTCGCACGGCGAGATGGCGCCGATGCGCGCGGGCGCCGGCACGCGGTTGATCTTCATCACGTCGCGGATCTCGTTCAGGTCGCCGTTCGTGAAGACGAAGCCAATGTTGCCGCGGCAGCGCGTCAGCAGGCACTCGAGCGGCGACCTGGCAGGGGCACATTCGGACCTTAGTAATAGACGGACGCGGCCGCGCGGGCCCAAAGGCCCGAGACCGCCGCGCGCGGGCGGAACGACTCGAGTCGCGGCATCCAGTCGCGCCGCCCACTCGTGCGGCGCACGCCGGCCCCGGCTCGGCCCTCGGTGAGCGCGCGTCCCCGGCGTCTTGCGGCGCGCGCGGGACGCACCCCGGGTTCTTCTCGATGAAGCCGTTGATGACCTTGCGCATCATCGTGTTCTTGCCCATGAGCACGACGGCCTTGCCGCGGAGCGCGATACGGATCTTCTGGAACTGCTTGGAGCCGACGTTGTCGCACGACACCGTCAGGCACTTGGTGTAGTTTTCCAGGAGGCCATCCATGCGCTCAAAGTACTCCTGCTTGCGCTCGCGAGAGAGACCCATGCTGACTGATTAGCGGTGTAAGGGAGCTGTGGGGGTCGTGAGGTACCGGCCTATCCTTCAGACGAAGATAAGCAGTTTAAGGTAGCTCTCGTGTTGGCGAGGAATGTAAGTCGGCGACTGGAAATTGCGACCTTTCGTAAACACGTGACCGCATTTGCAGGTAGCTCGCGCGGGTTCCCAGCGCCGACGGACGCGACTGACTCGAGGCTCCTTGCATACTGCGTCGTCGTTGTCTCGGCCATCGTTTGAGATGCGTGCTCGAGAGCGACGAGAAAGGAAACCCCAGGGAACCCATCCAAGTCGTCGGCCACGGGTCAAGCCGTGCCCGTCGCCTCTGTCGCGGCGACGGGGACCGCCGAGAGTCTCGACGAGCTTGCCGGTGTTTCAAAGGGTCAGTGTACGACTTTGGCGCGTCGGTGCGCGGCGTTTTGGCCGACGATTTGCCGCACGTCGACGCGGAGGGCGTGCGCGGACCGCGCGAGGCGGTGCACGAAATCCGGCACGTCGTCGGCGTCCGCCTCGGCGAGGCGCGCGGGCCACTCGCCGAGGCGCGCGTGGCGCTGGACCAGGTAGGCGGCGTCGTCGCGGCCTGCGTCGCCCGCGAGGCGCGCCGCGTCGGCGTCGCCCCGGTCGTGACGCGCGTCGTCGAGCGCCTTGGCGAGGACCGCGGCGGCGCAGTCCAGTGTCAGCGCCATGCGGTGGCCCGCCGCCTCGAGCTCCTCGACGCGGACCGCCAGAGCGCCCGACTCGCCGCGCACGCGCCGCGCCGACCGCTGCAGCGACGCCGCCGTCTGCCGCGCCGGGCCCACGCGCACCTCGTCGCCGCGCATCTCGTCGACCGCGCGCCACCGCACGGCCTTCAGAGGTGGCTGCAGGGGCGCCTTTGTCGTCGACGGCGACGGCGGGAGCGGCGGCCGCCGTTGTCGGTCGTCGAGCGTTTTTGCGCTGGCCTGCCGCTGGGGCGCGGCCTTGCTGGCGCGTTCGAGGACGATGCAACACGTCTCCTTTGAGAGCGCGAGGTCGCGCTCGAGGTGGGCCAGCGTCGCGACGAGCTTGACGTGGTCTGCGACGATGGCGTTCGCGCGGCGCGCCGACGTGGCGAGCGCGTCGCCGGCGGCCTCGTGCGACGCCGCCACGAGCTGCAGCAGCGTGCCCGACTGGCCGCAGTCGCGCGTCAGCGCTGCCTCGGCGTCGGCGCGCTGGCGCAGCTCCTGCTTGAGGCGCGCCGTGTGCCGCACGCGGTCGCGGCCCGACGAGGCGACGCGGAGCTCGAGGTCGGCCTCGGCGTCGGCGCACGCCGCCTCGAGGTCGGCCTTGGCGCGCGCCGCCGCGGAGCGCTCGGCCGCATCGCCGCGGCCGTATTCGTACGTCTCGACGTCGTCCACGACCTCGCCGGAAAGCGGCCGCTGGAAGAAGTCGTCGGCCGAGGCGCCGCCCGGCGACGTGGGCGTCTCGAGGCGCCGCCACGGCTGCGCGCCCGAGGGCGACGACACAGGCGTCTCGAGGCGCCGCCACGGCTGCGAACCCGAGGGCGACGCAGGCGTCTCGAGGCGCCACCGCGGCTGCGCGCTCGAGGGCGACGACATAGGCGTCTCGAGACGCCGCCACGGCTCCGCGCCCGAGGGAGACGCCACCGGCATCTCTAGGCGCCGCCGCGGCTGCGCGCTCGAGGGCGACGCGCCCGGGGACGCGAACGTGTCGTCGTGCGCCGCGGCGTCCTTGGCCGCGGCGTCCTTGGCCGCGGCGGCCGCGCGGCCGTCGCCGGCGGCGCCCGGCTCTGTCGAGTGCGCGGCCTGGGCCTGGGTGAGGGCCTCGAGCGCGGCGGCCTCTTGGTCTCGGAGCGAATGCATGAGCAAAACGTGGTCGCGCGCGGCGGCGTCGCGGCGCTGGCAAAAGCGCTTCTCGTCAATCTCCAGCTCGACGCGGTGGAGCACGACTCTTCGCTCGAGGCCGACGATGTGGTCGTAGTTGTTGTCCAGCTTTTGTTGCAGGAAGAAGTACAAATCTTGCATCTCCTCTCGGGCCTCCCCGAGCGCCGCGTCCAGCTCGCGGTTCTCGCGCGCCACGCCCGCCGCAAACACCTCGGCGTCGTCGAGGAGCGCATTCGCCTTGGCCAGGCCGCCCGACGCCGCGTCGCGCGACAGCCCCAGCAGCGTCGCCTCCTCGGCCGCCCGCAGCGGGCCGGGCTCCTCGGGCGACGCCTCCCCGCCCTTCTTCCCCATAACGACGCGCCCTGCTCAAATGAGCTCAGTGAAGCCGCGGGGCGTCGACCGAATGACCCTCTCCAAGAGCCTCCCGCGCGCCTCCGCGGGCTCGTCGTCGATGTCCAACGCTTCCGCTTTTTAAATCAATTGATTTCAATAATTGCTTTCAACAATTTATATAATTGGCTTTCAAAAGGTTAAAACTTAGCAATTATTTTAGCGATTTTGTAAGCGATCGTTTGCTGCCCGCGTCCAAG